ACCCCTACTGCTTGGTTAGTAGTGATCTAGAAAGTACTTTCATGACTCCACCTTTACACATTGGTAAATGACATTCTTCCATGCCTGTGACCTGATTGTCTGCCTTGTATTTGATTCACATTGGTCCACATCACACCTTTCTTGGTGTGACCTAACGTCTGAACCAGACGACAGCTCCTGATCAAGGTTGTCATCTGATATTCAGCCTGTACCCATGACTAAGACTGTGGATCTGAAATGGAAATATTTTCACGTACGTTCCGTAGAACAGAAATGTTTATTAAACTCTTCTGCCTTCTCGGAGTCATTACTGACTCTTTTACTACCTCTATCTAGGAATAGGTCCAATTGTTATAAGTATCTTTTTTTTTTTTTCCTCCCAGTATATTAAAAACTTGTTGTTTTGATCTCAGCCAGCCCTTTTCTCTACCTTTATCAATCGCCTACACTTTTTGTATCTTCTAATTTATATCACTTGCTATCTCTCCCTTCCTTTTTTTTTCTTATTTTTATGTAGCATATCATATAATAACTATAATATACTCACATGTACGTGCATACACATTCCTATTAGCTGTCTTGCTTTGCTACTGAATTTGGATGAACTCTTGTGGATTCATGGCCATCTAATAAACACTTCTTTAAAGAATTCATAGTCTTAATTTGCATTTTTCTTTCTGAATTTTTTCCTCATAGTCCATTTTGCTGATAATTTGCTAAAGCAAAGGAAAATTCGGCTTTTTGAAGCACCAAGTGTATATGTTACTGCTTGGGCACTGTCCTTTTGTTTGCCCATATTGATGTAATTAGGTCACAATTGCTAGTCCCTAGGCAACCACCAACTTCCAATCCAGCTATTAATTCATCATTATTCATCATAATGAGGTTCAGAATAGCTACCTTGCACCAGATGTAATGTCTCTTGGCTAAGAAAATTGTTGTCTCTAATTATAGACACTCTAAGGATGTTTACTTCTGGCTTAATGGGATGTCCAGCGTAATGCTCCCCTGTTAACACACATCTACACGTGCATTAACGCACTTTAGTTAATGTGCATTAAGTCTAGTATCTCCATTTTGAGGTACTAAAAAAATACACATTAGCCTGTCTTACTGCACATTGACTAAAAAGCCGGGGCATTTTTACACATGGTCCCGATGCGGCGCCAGATGCTTTTAATTAAGGGGCCATGCTAATTAAAGCACCTGCACGTCACATGTATCAGCAGCACAGTACGTCCCTGTGCTGAGAAAATGGTGGTTGGGCACTTTGAAGTACAGCAAATCAAACGTGTTTTAGTTCAAAATGCACCACCACCATTTTCTCAGTGCAGAGATGTGCCGTGCCACTGATGCACATGATGTGCAAGGTTGCCAGAATACATCAATTTACCTGCTCCTGCAGACTCAATTAATCAAGTCTGCTCTGATGCACTGGATTTCTAGTGTGGGAGAGCAGGCTACCCGCTTGTGTGTAAGTGCCCCATGGTTTTTAAGTGACACTTAATGCATATTCGCTTATTTTAATGTGAATTAACCAAATAGCAGGGCATGATTCTTTGGGTAGATGTTATATCTTTTATTAGACCGACCAAATAGTTGGAAAAATTGTTCTTTGCGAAGAAGAATTTAGCCAACTATTTATTTAGTCTAAGATATTACATCTACCCAAATAACCTTATCTGCCTATGTCCTTTAACCAGTACAGCTACAACCAACAACTCTAACTAAATAGCATGCTTTTTTTAGTGATGCTTTAATGCGCATTCAAATAGGCATGTTAAAGCACACGTGTAGTTGCACCCACACAGTTGCTTAAGGAGTAAGTTGTCATGTTTTCCAGTTTAATTTGATGGTCTCTAACAGTTCCCAACTTGTACTATCACTTTCCTCCCCTCCCCACCAGTTGAATTAGCTCATTGATCCATATGTTTGACCTGTGATCTTTTTAACGATATCGATAAGATGCTGTTAAACACTTTAATATTCATATGAAATGTCAGCCCTCATTTCATTACCTTGGCTCTCTTCTAAGCTGTTTGTTACTAGAAATATTAACATTTTTATAGTCTTAAAATTAATCCTTCTCTTAGTTGCTTTGCTTGGATTGTGGATGCAAGTCTGTAGCTGAGGCACTCTGTATAGAATGCAGCTAGCACCGCTCCCTCATCTTGCAAGGATGTTGTAAAGATGAAATAAATGTTTGTAAAATATTCATACTTCAGTTATCAACTTTGAGTATATCCATAAGGAAACCTTAACATGTTATATTCAGATCAGTTTAAACAGTGCAGTAAATATGACATGGTAACACATTGAACAATGAGAATAAACATAGTACAGTACAATCTCTGTTATCTGGCATTTAACTAACCAGAATACTTAATTAACTAGAATTTCAGTGGTGGGATGCACATGGCACTGCACCACTTTGCTGCCTGCTGCACTGCTCTGAGGATACCTGCGCAAGGTATCTGAGTGTGCGTGCCCCTCCCTACCCCTGCTGCAGCTAGGCTGCCCTGGCGTTTGGGGTGGCTATGATGGAATTTTTATCTATATACTGTTTTGTTCTTTATACAGTATGTTATACTGTAACGTATTGTACACTAATTCTTTGAAAAGTTGCACTACAAGTATGGCTCTGTCTTTCTTGAGCGTAACTCTCAGATGACCAGAATTTGTAGATAACCAGCACCCCCCCCATTCCCACTCGCACCGGATAACAGAGATTTTACTGTATTAATAGCTGGCCACTGAGTGACTTCTGTCCATCTAATGCAGTGAGTGAGGCCAGGGTCCTGTGGAAAAATAGTATGTCATTAAAGGCTGATCATAAAGTGTATACCTAAGGCTGACTCCAGATTGAGGAAGCAGACAAACTTTGAGTTTGTTTTAACTTGGCAGCCATACTGATCCTCTAACGTGTTTTCTGTAAAACATATCTACGTGCGGCTTCATGTTGCAAACAGTCTTTCCCAGTGTGTAGATTAGAGGTTCTCAACCTTTTCAGTCAGGGCACTCCTCCACCAGGTTTTGTTTTGTTTTTTTGAGTGTGGTGACACCCCTACTTGAGAAGCACTTACCTAAGCTCTGTCAGTGTTATTGCCACCAGATAAAACTGCCCTGCACATCCGCTGCACAGCCAGACTGGGAAGGACTGTGGCACGTGCTCTTTTTGCTTTAGAGTTCCCCGATTAACCCCAAAGGAGGCAGGGGAGGTGGCTTGTGCTGCATCCCTTCCCAGCCCAACCCCGCACAGCATCTCCCAGAAAGAAGTAGAAGTGTACTGCAAGCTTCTGTTTCTGGGAGATGTGTGGAAGGTGGGAGGGATGAACTTCAGCCCAAACGAGCTCACCTGCTTGCTTTAGGGTTATTGGGCAGGACATGTGCGCTGCAGTGCTGTGCATGGGGCTGTTTTATCTGGCTGTTGCAATGCTGGCAATGGCACCTTGAAGGGGTTTTGTGGGGTCCCAATTGAGAACCCCTGGTATAGACTGTGGAGCATTAAAATATTATATGTTGGGCTGCAGGAAGCCTGACATTTTGGCTAAGTACAGACAGTCAAAAAGTCCAAGGCTGAATCAGTTCAATCTTTGCAGGTTAGTCTAAGCTGTGTGGATTGAATTAATAAACAAGTGAGCAGACATTCACTTTTGATTCCAGAAATGCAGCTAATTGCCTGCAGTGACTCAGACCAGAAGATTGGGGGTGCTAGAGTATACCTCCCTGCTCGGCTGGATCAGACAGCTTGGGCCAAGGCTAGCCCACCCACCCTGTGGGGGGGAGGGAGTGTTGCAGGCAAGGTGCAAAGCATCCTGGGATGATGGGGGACTATGAGTTAACTTGAATTTGGAGGGGATCTGGGACAGAAATTCAGTAAACTGATTTAAACCTAATCAGTTCAGTCTGATACTACATCCATCCAGGTTTATCTTAAACTAGTTTTGGTCATTTTGAAAGCGTTTTATGCACTGAACCTCCCTGTTGTATTATAGATGTGAACCGGTTTCAGATCACTTATACTGGTTTATTTGTAACTTCCGTCCCTAGGCTTCAGCTTTGGAGGCTTGTTAATTGCAGGTTTCCAAACCAGATAATATACATGTAGACATTAACAAGCAAGCCTTTTATCCAATACCTAGCTAAACTGTGCATCTCGTGCTGCTTTTCCAGGTATCCTATGCCTGAAGTAACTTGCTCAGTTATTAAATGTTGAGTTCCGCCCCAATTTCTGCTGTGCACGTTCCACACAGAATTCATTTGTAACCTGAAAGAAAGCCCGCAATGGTACTAATTCCATTACATTAGTTAAATGTAACCCAGGCAATAAAAATGGGACAAGAGCTGTGCTTGTAACTGCACCTTGAGCACAAGCTCCTTTCGCCTCTCCTGCTTCATATCCAAGTATGAATTTGAAGTAAGGAGTGGGGCAACTAAAGAAAAGGAAAGGGGTGGAAATATCTGAGAGGAAGATGTTGGGTTATCTATTAATTTAGCAAAACCCCCAGTAGCCTGTGACTGGGACTGAGTGGTTCTGCTGTTTTCTTGAATCCTATTTATCTCTGTGTATATTTAGTCCCAGTAGAGCAAAAGTACATAAAGCACGCGCTTAACTTGATGCACAAGTCGTCCCATGAATCAGCGTCACTGTCACAATTGGTGCTGAAACTTGAGCTTGTGTTTTTGGGACCTTGCTGGATAGAGACCACAATGCAGCTGGCAGTATTCCTGTTTATTTGAACATGAGGAAAAAGAAATATATGCTTGGCGGTGTGATTTTTCTTTCTTTGGCGTCAACTCTACATTATATTGCATTTCTAATTAGAGGTTTGTACTGTTCTATTCAGGGATCAGTCGACTCACGAGCCATAGAAAAAGAGAAAATTTCCTAAGGATCTAAGCAACTGTCAATCTACTATTATTAAAACATGTTTTCATTTGGATACTGGCTTTTGGTTTTGAATTTTGTGGTTATACTGTGAATATGTTGTTTTTAACAGATTAAAGGTTTTGTGCGGAAGACTCAATCTGCTATTCATCTGAGGCAGAACGGGAGTTATAAACTTCTGACAACTGAAGATGGTTTTCCTGTGGATACAGTTGTTCCTGCTTTCGTTTGTTGGCTGCCTTGGAGGTAACAATATATGTTTTCTAACTTCCAAATCCGAGCTACCTCAAATCTGTGCGCGCTGTTTTGTTGTTGTGGTGGGTTTTTTTAAATGCACTGAGACAGATCATTTAGAAACTAAACCTACACTGAAAAGCTTAAAATAATAATAGCGTACTAAAATAATTTCTCTCCTTTTCTTTTGTTTGTTGAATAGGCCTGTACTTTCAAAGCAAATAGAGGTCATGTGATAGGACTGCAGAGGCTTGCATTGTGGATATGCTAATTTAAAAGAAAAAATAGCGTGCAGATTAAATTCTAGCTGGGGAAATGTTTACGGTGAGTCTGTTACCCAGACTGGTTGCTTTATCTTTTGTTAAAGCTCTTGGTTTACTTCCGAATGGATTTGCTCATAAAGGAGAAAACTCTGTGCTAATTCACAACTCCTAGGCTGTTTCTTCGCACTGTGGCAGGCAGTACCGCAGCTCAGTCGCAAGGCTGGGAACTCCTGCTCTCTTCTTGTCCTTACCTTCTCTTCTGCTGTTTTACTAGTGACTCAGTAAGGTCATTGATAGTGGCAGAGCAGCCCCAAACTTTGCTTTGCATTTAATGCATTGGGTGTTTGTTCTAGTTTTCAGTCTTCAATAATATCGGAAGGAGAAAGGAACTCCCCTTCTCCCCCCCCGCCCCCCCAGCTCTGTCACTCAGGATTAAATCCCTTCACCCCAATGAACCCAGGGCATGTCAAAAAGCTGACTTGGCTGAGAGTGCCCATTTGACACCTGCCCATGTTCTTCAGCCAGCTATTACCATGCTTTTAATTGTTGTAGCAGTGCTCATCCCAAGGAAGGGGAGTTTAGTGGTCTGATTTATTGTGACTTCATTCAATAAAGGTCCCAGAAGGACTTGAATCTGCAATGAGAGAAAATTTTAATCTGCATTTAAATTGCAGTGTTGTGATTTTTGTGGACACTGCAAAAACCAGCCATCTCCGCAATCACCACAAAAAATGGCATTGGCTGTGATTTCCTATGGAATTAACCCTCTCCTACCCCCCTCCCAAAATGCTTACTGGAATATAAAGAAAATGCGGGAGTCATTGCATCCATAGAGCACGTGATTTGAATGATAGCTACTGAGGAGTTGAGCTAATAACGTAGACTAAGTGAAGGTACCAGTCAGGAAAGTTTTGGTGCCATCTTTTAAGTAGCTATTTAATTATGCATTTTTTTGCCTCTCAGCTAATCAGCCATGAGGGACAGAGCCACTGGGGCCCATCCACTAATCAGTGAGGAAAGGTGGGGCTTCTGTGAAATGCCCACAAAATCGGTTATGTGCACTGCAAGTGGGCTGCGAAAAATCCTTTGTCCCACCGTGATTTAAGCAGGTCCCTAATTCTAAGCAGCATTAGAGGAAAGATAGCAACAAGTTATTTTCCAACAGGCATGTTTCTCCGATTTAAGAACCTACACCGGATGGCCCTTCATGTGCCCAAATGTTTGAATGTGGCTTAAAAGATCTCTCTTCTGGCTAAACCAGGCCTATAAAGAAGACCTGACATGACTGACATTTACTGAGTCAAATTATAGCTCCACCTTGCACAGCAACCTGTGTCACATTGGCAGACGGTAGGTGCTGAAAGGGAGAATGGACTGGGCCTGACCACGGTTTTTTCCACTGTTCCTCTCACTTGCAGCTTTCAGCATCCCTCTGAAAAGCAAGGTGTTAGCTTCATTAACGTTTGTCAAAGTACCGTTTATTTTTGTTACTACATAGTGCTGCTCAAAGCAGTAAACCAATTAACTAACTGCAGGCCAAGGTCTAGATTTATGCCAGAGGGGCGCACGTACTCTCTACAAAACACTGTTATATCAGCTGGTACTCCAGTCAATGCTGGGGGTAAAGGATGCTCCAGGATTGCAGAACAGCTGTTTTGGGGTGAGGGGTCCTGGAAACAGGTAAGTGGAAGGAACTGTGTCCCAATGACTGGGGTTTAGGACACGCAGGTTTGCTCTACTGCTCGCATCTTTGAGTTGGGGGAAACCCTTATGCCATTAGGAATTGCATGGTAAAATTGCTGGATTGTGAAATCCATACATCTCCCTGAGAACTTGCAATCTGATGCTATTGCCCTTCTATGTGATGTGCTTGGAGGATGTACACTTAAAATCACTGCTAGTGATTATCTCTGCTAGCCTGCTAATCACTGCTAATTAGCCTGCTAATCACTGCTAGCCTAACCCCAGGATAGGTTTGGGATCTGTGTTGGCACACTTCTATTGAGTTGTCTTGTGTTTCCATAATGCACCCCTGCCCCTGCCCTTTCCTCCCCATGTGTTAGGAATGAGAGCCCAAGGAGGGAAAGCTAATTCCATCTTTTTCTTCCAAACCTAGTTGAAAAAGTGTAAGTTTTTAATGCAGGGCAGGGGCAGGGGACAGGAGGGAGGAAGAAAACTTGTCTCTTTACCTTAAAAAAATAAATTAATTAATTAAATTAAATTAAATTAAAAGAGAGAGAATCCATTGAACTAATCTAATTTTTATTTCCATCTTTCTTTCAGTACTTCTTCCCCACCCTAAATTTTTGCTAAAGTGAAGCTGGGGAGAAAATGGGGGTGGGGGAGCGAGGGATGAGGAGAAATCAAAACTTCCCATGGCAGGAACACAATTTTCTGCTAGCTCTAGAGCTCCCCTGTTGAGCAGATGTTGTTTGAGTGGTCCTGGAAGTTTGCTTGACGCTGGTGTTTAGAAATTAGATTTTCAGTGACTGAAAAATATGTTATATAAATGTTTCTCTTCCAGGGATTTTTTCACTTTTCATCAAAACAAGAATGGGAAACTTTTTTGAGACATTACTTTTCATTAAAAAGCTAATCTCACATTTTCAATAAAATGTTAACCTTTTGGATGTAACAATATTTGTTAACTGGCTTTCCTATAGACATGTTATCTTTGTAGGATTTGTCTCACGCTTTTCTGTACCAGCATCTTGAAGATTCATTTTCTGGGTTGTTAGATACCAGCTCCCGATTCAAGAAGAATACCCTACCACTGGGTAAAATAATTTGCAGGGCAAAAAGGAAATGTAATTAATGTCCTGGTGAAAACGTGCATTATGGAAGTGAAGGGTTTTGCTGATGCAGTATAAATGCTCATTTGAATAGTTGAGCTATATTTTTTTGTTTTCTGTACGTTGATATATTAGTGATCCCCTGTCCAGCAGGCTTAGAAAAGGCAGAATATTTTGACATTTAACAGGTAGAATATTCATGCTGAAGTCTGTTATAATAATTGTTTATTTTCTGTTATTTCAATGGAAAAAGCTTTACTGTAAAGTAACGTCGGTACCAAAATTGTGTCTCAATATTTATTAGCAATCTCAGCATTGTGTCAAAGTGTTATCATTGTGCTTGAGCCACATTTTCCTAATGGATATTAATCTTGCTTCTCATTAGGATTTTTTTTAATGTAAATACAAGCAGTGTGTGAATGTCTTTGTTGCCATAAATCACACTTGCTATGTAGCAGCATCATGAATATCATTTGTGAGTGAATTTATTGTACTTGTAAGAGCAGTGCTGTGGCTAAATCCTCGCATTTTGAGGTACACCAAGCCTTCCTGTTCTCTAGGTCTTGTCTGCTTTTTGGCTATGAGGTTTTTGGTGTTTTTTGCAGGGGTTTTTTTGTTTGTGTGTTAGTCCAAACTTTCTGAATATTAAAGTCACCTTCTGTATGGATGGTTCACTAAAAACATCAGCTCAGTGTTCAGCAGTAGTCAAATGCAAATAATGTTTGGAATTAGTAAGATAGAAATGGTAAACAAAGCAAGAAGGTGGCATCTTGCTCCTTTTGTATTCTATGCATGTATGCACCATATACTTATAGTGTGCAGCTTTGGCCACAGACTTCAAAAAGGACGTCAAGGAACTAGAAAAGGTAGAGAGAAGGCAACAAGGATGATCAGAGGTATGGAGGGGCTTCCAGATGAGAGATTACATAGGCTAGGACTTTTCAGTGTAGAAAAAAATATGCTTAAGGGGACAGAATAGAGATCTACAAAAGATTAAATAGCGCAGAAAAGGTAATTTGGGATTCATTATTTACTGTCTTTAAAATGCTAAAACTAGGGGTCAAATTAAACCACCTGGTAGTAGACTTAAAACTAACAAGCAGAAGTTTTTATTTTGCCCACACAGCAAGTAATTAACTTGTGAAACTGGTTGCCGCAAGGTGTTGTGGAGGCTGGTAGCTTAACCCAGTTCACAAGGGGGTTAGCCAAATTCTTGGAGAAAAGATCCACCAGTAAGATCATGAACATGGATCAGTAATGGAACATGATATATAAGGATACAGCCTTGAAATCAGAACTTCCTAAATCTCTGGAAGGTGCTGTGGAAGAAGAGCATGATGTGGAAGATGTGGGTCACACCCTGTTCACCCTCCCCCTTGGTATCCACCCTGCCACTGAGAGGGACAGGAGGATACTGGGCTTGATGAACCTGGCCTGACCCAACAAACGGGAGTTCCTATGTTAGGTTTTTCTCCTTGTGGACACTCGGCAGGCTCCTATTATTGGATGGCATTAATCAACTGTCAGTGTGTTCTTACAATCCAGATGTGCCAATACCACTGTGCTGCCTCCATAGCATAAAGAGTTGGAAGTGAGAACTCATTATGCCAGTCCAGGTGGCTAGAGGTAATTCACAGAATAGGAATTTGGAAGTTGTACACACATTCTGGTTATGATAGGAATCTGTGTGGTTAGGTCTGCTGGCTAGCTCTGAGTCCAGGGCCAGGGTTCAGGTCAGGGTCACAGCTGAAGGAGGTGGTCAGGAGCATGGGGGAGCTGGAGTAATAGTCAGGAGAAGCCACAGTAAAGGAAGCCGTGAGTCAAGCCAGGGTTGGAAAGGCAGAGTTAGGAGCCACAGATCATTCCAGGGTCTGAAGCCAGAGTCAGAAACTAGAACTGAGGCAAGGAGCAAGGCACAGGAGCTGATGGTTTCAAAAGCAAGCTGATCAGAAACCAA